TCATAGCATTGTTCCCCTGCATTCTGATAGAAAAGGTTTCTAGGCATCACATGTCTTTCAGGCTACTAGAATAAAGTACTCTGTGGCTACATAATAACTTATTTCTCACAGTTCAGGAGGCTGGGAAGTCCAAGATCAAGGCACTGACAGACCCAGTGTCTGGTGAGGATCTGCTTCCTGGTTCATTGATACATCTTCTGCTGTGTTTTTGCATGATGAAAGGAACAGGATACTCTGGGGTCTCTGATTTTTGTTTTCTTTCTTCTGCTAATGATGGAACTTAGGGCCTTAAGCTTGTCAGGCAAGGACTGTTCCACTGAGCTACATTCTTAACCCCTGAGAGCTCTTTTAGAAGCCCTAATCTCATTGGTGGGGGCTCTGTTCTCATGGCTGTCACTCCCAAATGCCCTGCCTTCTGATTCTGTCACAGTAGGAATTAGGTTTCAACATGTGAATTTGGGGAGGGCACAAATATTCAATCTATTACTGCACATACCATTGTTTTCTGTGAGGAGTGTTCTATTGAAGTTAAGAATTCCATGGCCCATTCTCAGCAGTGATGCAGGTAAGCTCAAGTGACCCAGGTCTGGAAGGACCTAGTCTCACTCTAGGTAAGGGAAACTTTCCAGTTTCCCCAACATGTCCCAGCCCCATCTGGCAATGCTAGCTACTGGCCAGACCTTTGCTAGTTAAGACAATCACTCTGCTTCCAACTAAAGCTGACTGTCAGCTAAAAATTTAGAAAGGAACTGCTGGGATTTTCAGGACTTATTCTTCTAATTAAAGAGAACTGGAGTTAATGGCTTAGTGGTTGTTCCATAATCAGGCCCTGCTACAAGTGGTTAAGGAAGTTGGCAGTGAGGCCCAAAAGAGCCTTCAGGGACAGGGTGTGGCTGTGAACAAGACTAGGAAAAGGACTTCTGAATCCAAAGCTAAGAATGTGGCTTCCCTTGAGTCATGGAGCGATAGGGAGGAATTTTGAGCTATGGCCCACTGAGACAACAAATTGGGTTGTTTCATCTTGTCCTGGAAGTGGCTGTGGGTGGGGTTTTGTCAGAAGGGTAAAAGGAGAAAAAGCCCAGGATCAACCTGGCTTTGGATTGGGGTTCATCACATACTGGCTGGGTTACTTTGGATCAATGATTTGCAGCCTCAGGTGATTCATCTGTGCAACCTATTTGGCATGGCTGTTGTCAGCACTAGATGGTATGCAGAAGCCCTGGCACAGAGGTACATTTATAAAGTGGTCATTCCTGCTATCCTGATTAGCATTTGGGGGACTAGGGTTGAACCCAGGGTCTTATACATAATATATCATTGAGCCACATCCCCAGCCCTGATTAGCATTTTTATGAGCATCATTGCCAAATTACATTCATGTAGTTGTCATAGATTATAGAATGCTTTCCCATGTTCTCATTGCAGTTGAACTCACTCCCATATGCTTTTAGAGCCTTCTTCTATCACATCAGTGTATCCACAAACTGCATTAAACCTGAGTGCTCCTTAAGAAGAAACAGTTGTCATGTATGGATGCCCAGGGCTGGCATCAACCAGAGGCTCCATCCTGTGTATCATGTGTCCATGTAAGAAAGCTCTTCTTAGGCCTGGAGAGATGATGGCTCAGCAGTGAAGAACATGTACTGTTCTTGTAGAGGACATGAGTTCAGTTCTCAGTACTCACATCAGATGGCTCACAAATAACTGTAACTTCAGCTCCAGGGGATCTGACACCCTCTTTTGGCTTCTGTGGGCATTGCTTTCACATGTGCAAACCCCATACACATTATTTTAAAAAAATCTTTTCAAGAAAGAAAGTCCTTGCTTATAAACAGGGCTCTTGAGAAACAGAGGAAGTGACCACCTTGAGGATGGCCTCATCCCTGAGGATATGTCAAGGACACTTCGAAGAAGTGGCTGCACCAGCTGGGGCTGGATTTGAAGCGGGGGAGGGTTCTAAGCCCTGCCCCTAGTCTATTAGTATTTCACATGAGTGAAGAGGTTCTGAGTTCATCCAAAAGGGTGTTTCTACTTCTCTGAACTTGTGGCCTCTTTACAAATTTGGGCAGGCATGACTGGCTTCAGGGTTTCCATCCTCTCTGCTTCCACTGCTCCTCAAAACATACAGGACTCGCCTTAGCCCCAGTAGATGGAAAACAGTTTTTCAAGATTTTTAAAGGAGTCGTTTTATATTCCTTTAATAGAAATAAAAAAGCATGATGCTAGTACACAGTGTCCTAACAGTGGACACTGAGGACTAGCATCTCATGCATAGCCTTTGGACGTGTGTTATTCTTTTTTCTTTCAAAGAATAAAAACTTGAGTGCCACTGTTTCAAGAGTTCTTCAAGTTCACATTATGCAAATATATGTGATAAAATATTTACTTAGGGTTTTCATTAAAAATGTCCAAAGTTGAAAATAAGAGAGTGTCTTTTTTCTGGGTTTAGAGGCTCTGCAGGGAATTCAGAGTGAAATTCAAGCCCCTTCAATATATTTTGATTGGCCTCTGTCATATTTTATCTCCTGTAATGAACTCTTTGCCAGTTTGTCAATTTTCACTAAGTTCAGAAAGTTCATGTATAGTAACACTGAGCCCAAATTTAAAATTATGGTTTATATCATGATGTAATAATCCTCTCTCTTTTCCTTTAGTCAATATTTACCTGTGAGGCCTACATATTATAATCTTGACTTCAAAAGAAGACCTTTTATTTTACCTTCTCCAAGTGTTGGTTTTAGATACTTGAAATATCAAACTCAGAAGCTGAGCTGTCTGAGACCTCTGGCCATAGCTGCTTGGGGTCAAGTTCCTTGAGCACTGAGCATTGCAGGCGGGTTCACTGTGCCCAGTGACCTAATGACACAGCTGCGTGTCTGTCAGAGTGAGGCTGCTGAACTTTGGAGCCAGACTGGTGTCTCCAAGTTCTTGAGCCAACCCTTCTCCTGTAGGAGATAGGCCCATTGCTTCACCCCACAGAAGGAGCCATAGACCTCACTTTTCCTTTGTAAATGCTGCAACATTGAGCAGAAAAACTCAAAGAATACCTTGTGGGAGAATCTTGGCATATGAAAGCCAATGAACAATAGGAAATCTTAAATTCTTTCCTTTGCCTAAACTTAACATTTTTTTAAAAATTTTATGTGTACAAGTGTATCGCCTGCATGTCTGTAAGTGCACCCGTGTTGTGCAATGCCCACAAAGGTCAGAAAAGGGCCTTGGATCCCTTGGAACTGACATTATGGACAGTTAGCTGCAGTGTGGGTGCTGGAATTTGAATCTGGGTCTTCTGCAAGAACAGCCGGTGCTCTTAACCACTCACCAGCCCCCTTTGCCTGAACTCTTTCCTTTTTTTTTTTTAACTTTTACTAAAACTTTACTGAGAATTTCCTACATGCATAAAAGGTGTTTTGATCAAATCCATGCCCACTCCCTCCCCTCCAACATTGCCCCCTCTGAAGAGGTAACCCTAAAATCTTTTAAGGGTTAGATACAGCTCCCAAATACTTTTGACATTTTTGGCCTTTGGAACAGAGTATGTTGTTAACAGGACCAAGGACATTTTGACTTTTAGCCAAGAAACTCGCTACATTTCTTTGGGGTCTTCTTACCCTAACTACCTAGCCAATTCCTACTTCCTATTCTTATCACACCGTTCTCTGAAGGGGTTACCCAAATTGCCAATAGGGAATCGGGACGCAAGCCACTTTGGGCCCTCTTCTTCCGTGCTGAACAGGGACGCAGGGTGAGGCAATTGGAGTACCCCTTCAGTGGGTCTATCTAAAAGACTCCCAAATTGCATAACTATTGTCTCTAAGGGGAAAAGAAAGTCCTTGAATCATGGCTTTCCCTATATTTCTCAGACCTGCTATTTTCTTTGTTGGTTTAAATATGTGGTGAAGATGGTTCCTAGCAACTTCAGATGTATGCTGTATTTAGTCTCTGGGATTGAAGGAGAGAGACCCCCTTGGATGAAGTCCATGTCAGTCCTTGAAAACAGGCTTAGAATAAAATCTTCTCAAGTCACATACCTGTGCCAAGATCAGTCACTGTCAACAGGGATGGGGTATAGTGGGATTCCATTAGGGATATGCTTAGTTTAGGCACCTTCCACCCTGTGCTTACATCCTCAGTGTTGCTCTCTACCCACGATGCTTTCTCCAAGTTAATGCTTATTTTACTTATGTATTCTCCATTGTTATTGTTGTTGTTGTTGTTTATGATTTTTTTTTTTTGAGACAGAGTCTCCCTGTAGCCCCAGCTGGCCTTGAACTCACTGTGCATACCAAACTGGCCTCAATCTCACAGAGATCTGCCTGCCTCTGCCTCTAGAGTTCTGGGGTTAAAGGTATGCACCATCATACCCAGTGTCAGGCAAGCTTCTGAATGGGGTAGGAAAGATGCATTCAGACAGTAGAAAGACATTGCCATGGCAGCTGCATCCCAGCATATGAAGGATGGGCTGCAAGGCTGCCAAGGTAGATTGGGGTGAGACCATGCAAGGGCATGAACAATAGGCTAAGGAATAACATCACCAAATGCATGTTTAGAAGGGTAATAGCAGAAGTCCACAGTGCTAGGTGAGTGGGCACAGAGGCAAAGTGGGCAGGTCAGACATGGAACTGATGAAGGACTATGGATAGAGGGCAGAGTTTCCAGAGACAGTGTTTTTCAGGTTTGGGGGATTGATTCACTTCTAGTGACCTGAAAGGATTTGCTTATCCATTAAGCCTGTCTTTTTCAAATGTACTAGTACTTATGCAGAGATAAGAAGCCTTTAGAAATGGGAAATAGCTTGTGAAAATGTTCACTCTTATTTGTTCAGAGTGAAAATCCCTCCACTGTGGTGCAGGATGAGGAAAGTGGCAGCAGTGCAAGGTTCTGGAGCTAGGAGGGGCCACGGCAAAGACCCTAGGACCTTAGGCATTCTTAGAACGGGTTTGAGGAGGGGTTATGCTGGCCTTCCAACCAGGCTGACTGTCCTTCTTATCCACTTACAGGCACCTTTGAAGTGGGCGTCCACATTGCAGACGTGAGTTATTTCATTCCTGAGGGGTCATATCTGGACAAGGTAGCTGCTGAGAGAGCCACAAGCGTCTACTTGGTTCAGAAGGTAAAATCAATCTCTAGTTTTAGATTTTTAAAAAGTACTTCCATTTAGTAGTCTTCTTGTTTGTCTGTTTGTTTGTTTTCAATTTCTGAAGAACATGACTTTTCTGAATCTTTTTCTCAGATCTGTAAGGTCTACGAAAAAAGTACATTCCCCCTGGGACTGTGCTTGTCCTCTATTACTGCATGTTTTCCTGAAAGAAGCCAAGGCTTTCATGTCAGGCCTCATTTCACCTTGGGCATCACCTTCAGACACTTCAGATAGCCTCCAGCAGTGATCAGCTTCTCAGGAAGACATGAGGGTCAAGAGAAGGGCCCAGAAGACAGCCTGCATCAGCCACTGGTTTTGCAGTTTGGTCAGGACCAGCCACATCCACTCATTCATGTGTTGTCTGTGGTCACTCTTGACACAACAGCAGCAAGATGGAGACACAGCTTAGTTCACCATTCCTGCTAAGTCAGTGTCCTCAGAACTCCCTCACCTTAGCTACGAAGGGAAGGAATTGAATAGAACATCTCAAAACATCCATTCCAGGGACTGGGGAGATGACTCAGTCAGTAACGTGCCTGCCAGGCAAATATGAAAAGCTGAGTTTGGATCCTCAGTGCCCACATGAAAACAGGGAATGATGACTTGGAGACAGACGGTCCCTAGAGCTCACTGGCTAGCCAGTCTAGCCAGTCAGTGAGCTTGGGGTAGTGAGAGGTCCCATCTCAAAAAATAAGGTGGAGAATGATAGAGGAAGGCACACAACATCGACCTCTGGCTTCCCACACGTGCATACACATGTACACACAATCATACACAGAAAAACTCATCCCTTCATCCTTTGTTCTGACACATCCCTACAAGTAACTATGAGACGCCATCCGTTTAATGAGCATTTGCTGAACACCAAGTATCTACCAGGCTCTGCAGTAGGCCCTGAGGATGGCTGTGAGTAGACTCACATGAGTTGTTTGTATTCCCCACTGTAGTTCTGAGTTCTTGTAGCGTTTTTCCCCCTGGCACCCTATTCATCTGCTCATTTGCCTTATTTTATTCTTTTGGCTGTCTTGACATTTACTTCCTGTCCAGCTTCCATGAAGTTCTCTCCCTAATCCCATGCCCCAGGAAATGACTTCTGATGTTTGCTTATTGTATGTGGTCGCTCTCCCGCTTGGCCCTCCACTTGCCCAGCATTGTGTCTGACTGCCTCTTCTTCTGCCCTGTCCCGGACCCCAGGGCTGGTGAGGAGACTGTGTCAGCAGAGCCGCATTCAGACACAGGAGACCCGGTTTGGTGATGCAGATCTGGTTTATTGCAGAAAGGCACAAGCTTATATAGGGGTAGCGGTCCAATCATAGCACAGCAAGTAGGATACCTGATTAGCATAACAGGCTTAACATCTTATCACAGTATAGCGGGCCAGATGCCTTATTTGCATAGTAGGTTTCAGTTAATTGAGATTTTGGGTTCCTGGAAGTCACAAGACCCAGGCTGTTGTTACTCAACCTTTTATCTGGAAGTGACAGTTTTAGAATTTAGAGGGTAGAGAGTAGGAAATGGCGAGCTCTAGGTATCAGTCTCATGATTTGCCTGTTGGAGCGTTTGTCACAAGGCATTCCTTGTGGCTCCAGCAGCTGGGTCATTGCCTCAGGCTGCTGTAAGGCAGTCATAAGGACTTCTAGGCTCAAGCCTGTCTCCCACAATTGTATCAAGGTAAGATGTCTACTGCCCTCCCCTCCTGCCAGCATATCCCAAGGTACTCTAGGAGCTGGCTACTGCCTCGTCTCTCAGGGACCAGAGACCACCCAGCTACCACACTTAGTCCATTCTGAGAACTTCAAAATGTCATCTCCCAGAGAAGGGGTAGTGCTGCCTAGTCTGTCTGCACTGCCAGCTGCCTCTGTGCCCACACTATTGGCAGAGGGAACACCAGGCTGTGAACTCTTCCTTACTAACAGAGTGTACTGATAGGCCCTGGCTCCTGCCTCTCCAGGTCTTGTTCTTGTCTTAGGTACAGTGATTACGCATGCCCACCTGTAGTTCTGAGGTGTCTACCTACACAGGGAACCTGGAGAAGACCAGGAAAGAGGTCCTCTAGGCCCTGAGTCTTATGTGGCTTTTGGATCAAGCATTTTTATCCTGTGTACAAGAAAACTTCCTTCTCTTGGTTCTTGTTAACCTCTCTCACTCCCTCCACACATTCATAAGACATTGAGAAACTTGTTTTCCTAGCCACCTGCTGCTCCCTAGACCTTTTGGAGTTATATTGTCTAGATACTGTTAAGGCAAGTTGCAAGGGTACTATGTACTGTTCACCCTGGAAATGTCCCCAACATTAGGGTCTCACTGAAGCTAGCTATATGCTCTTCCCATTTCTTGGCCCTGTTCATTGGGAAGGCTGAGTCTCTTCCTGGCATCATTTGAGGATAATGGATCTTTTTAATAGCAGTGGTTCCTGACTTCAGTCTGTTCTATACTAGAGGTAGTGAATTATCACTGATCAAGGCCTGTCAGTTCTGCTTCTAGATAGCCCTTGACACCTTCATACTCGCCTCATAATTACACCCTTGCCCAGGACCCCAGTGAATTTACCAACTGGCAGAAATGCATACATACCTGAGCAAAGCTAGCCTACATCCCAAGTGCAAAGCAGGTTTGAGGGGAGGCCTATAAGTATGCCCAGCTGTGGAGCACATTTTCATCTCAACCTGAAACCACAGCTCTCTATCAGCAGAGAGCTCACCTGTATCAGGGGTTTCTTGGGCATCATCCTCTTTCCTGGGGAACTCATTTCTGTTAGGACTGCCACAGTTTCAACATAGCCATCTAAGGTTCCCTCCAAATCGTATATCCCACAACCTTCTGTGTCTATGTTCTGGTACACAGGTTTAGGACACCTACCCAACTCAGCCACACCTCACAGCACCTGTGACCTATAGAAGGTGAATTTCCAGATATACCTGTACCAGGCCCAATAAGTCATAATATCTCATGTGGCCTTTGAGTGCACAGCCATCTGCTAATGATAAAAACCTAGAATCTGCTGAATAGAAAGGTTGTTCCACAAGGGAATTTCATAATTTGTTTCCTTATCCCAATCTTGGACAGATCCTCTAACATGTCTTCACCTCACACACGTGATCCTAGACCACTTATAACCACATATTTATTCTTCATGCCAATCTCAAGAGAGGATGTGTTCTAGAATCTCTGGGATCCAATCTGAAGGTTCCTAAGGTTTTTTTTTTTTAATTTTATGTGTATGAATGTTTTGCCTGCATGCATGTATGTGCACCATGTGCATGCAGTACCCTCAGAGACCAGAAAAGTGTCAGAACCCATGGAACTGGAGTTACAGACTATTGTGAGTGGCCATGTGGGTGCTGGGAACCAAACCAGGTCCTCTGCAAGACTAGCCAGTGCTCTTAACCTCTGAGCCATCTCTCCAGCCCCTTCTTAAGATTTATTGTGTTGATCAAGTATTATTGAGAGTTCCTCTTGTGTTTCCTACTTGTCCACCCTAATAACTAAGTTCACAATGACTATGAGATTCTGCTTTGTTTGCAGCCTTGTCTTTTAGGGACTGAAGATCTTTTGGCTCTGTGACACAAATTTGACTTTCTCTGTCAGGCTAGCAGTTGATAGTGATGGCATCAACCTCATGATGATGATTACCCTGTCTGCCACCCTCAGCTCCACTCCATAGGGACAATACTTCTCAAGAAGTATTGTCACAAGTGTACCCAGAGCAGTCAGTCATCTGCTAGTCAGCATTCAACACACTGGGACCCTCCCTAGGAAGAGCCAGAGCCTCCTCCCTTCTGCTCCAGGCCAGAGGAATTCAACCTTTTGGCATTGTGACAAAATGTTGTCATCTACAAAGTTTACTCTCAAGAATTATGCATTCAAGTTACAAAAACATATACACCATAAGATTTTGAGTAAATTTACAGTTCTGTATTGGACCATAGATACGGCAATTCTGGACTACACATGGCCCACAGTCTACAGGTTGGACGTGCCTGGCACTTGGTCATCTGAACCAATTCTCATGCACTGCTCTCGTTTTCCCTGCCATTTTAACTAGATGATTAGACCTACCATCTAGGTGTTTCCTGCTGTGAAAGTGAGTATGTGAGTAGAGAGAACAGATTGATGAGAGCTGTGAAATTCTGAGACAGAAGTTATGTGGTCATCCAGACAGTTTCCAGCAGTAGAGTGGCCAAGACAGTAGGTGACCTCAATGCCCAGTGCTTCTCTTTTGCTGTGACAAAGCACTCTGACCAAAACCAACTTGTGGAAGTAAAGGTATATTTTCTCTTATATCTCCCAGGTCATAATTTATCACTGAGGGAAATCAGGGCAGGAACTTGGAGGCAGGAGCTGACACACGGACCACAGAGGAACACTGCTTACTAGCTTGATCCTCATGCCTGTGCTCAGCCTGCTTTCTTATACAACACAGGGCTACCTGTTCAGGGATGCACTGCCCACAGTGGGCTAGGCCCTCCCACATCACTCAATAATCAAGAAAATGTCCCACAGATAGGTCCACAGGACAGTCCAGTGGAGGCGGTTCCTCCATTTAGGTAAAGTTGACAACTGAAGCTATCTAGCACAATTGGCCCCTTATCAACGTGACACACAACACATTGCTATTAAGCCACTTCTTTTCCATGTCTTGTCCCCAAGATATGATGTTAATATCACAAAATAAAACAATACAACTTTGAAAGTCTCATAGTCTTAAAAAAAATTCAAGTACTTTAAAAGTTTAAAGTCATTTTTAAAAGGCCGGGCATGGTGGCACACACCTTTAATCCCAGCACTCAGGAGGCAGAGGCAGGCAGATCTCTGTGAGTTCAAGGCCAGCCTGGTCTACATAGTGAGTTCCCAGACAGGGGTCTACAGGGAGATCCTGTCTCAAAAAGACCCCCCCCTCAAAAAAAGTCTCCTATAAAATCCAAACCATCTAATTTCAGAAGGGAGGAACTGAATATACTTAAGCGAAACCA